CCAGTGACAGCGATCACAGTGCTGCTGGGATTCATGATCTTCCACCTCTGTTTGGTTTGAGAAGTGGAGAGAGACGGATCGGTGCCGAAACGTGTCAATTTAGTACAAAGTGTATCTGTGTTAAAAGTCATTTTAATACCTTTAAAACAGTGTTAACCCTTTCCTTGCCCTTTTGATTACTGCCTGCAGTGATCAGTATACTGATCACAGTATTTAACTGATCTAATTTTTTTGTACCCTCAAGGGTTCATTTTGATTTATTTATTTATCCTTTAGGGGTTAATTTTATTTAGTTATTTAATTAATTTAACGTTAATTCCTTAGTTAGCTGGAGTGGGTAGACTAGTGGGAATTTGGGAAATTGAGTGTTAGGCTAGTTAGAGACAAAGTTTAGAAAAGTTTTTTAAAGTTTAAAAAAAATAAAAAGAAAGCGGATAAAAGAAAAAAAAAGTAAAAAAAAAAAAAAAAGTGTTACACCTTCATAATTTATGTCTAGAAGGCACACTGCTGAGGAGGCTTATGATATACTAGCAGCCGACTGACACCAGACTGCCTCTGAGAGTGGTGATGAGTGTGCCAGATACTGCAGGGCCCTCTGTTGTAAGCGCCGAGTCCCCTGAACTGGCTCATGACGCTAGTGACTAGGAACCTATAAATGATTTCACGCCTGACATCTCAGTGTTTACGGGCAGTCCTGGAATTCAGTTGGACGTCAGTAACTACAGTGCACTGAATTTCATGCAGCTATTCCTGGGGGATTTCCCTTATTTCCCACTTCAGACAGTTTGGCTCAATGTACACTGACGAGCTAAGTGGGCGAAATGCGCACATCAGGGACTTAGGGCTTCATAGATGCCGCTTTCTCTTATATTTAATTACCTTTTCTGATGATCGTTTCGGGATTTTCTCCTTTCAGCCAGGCTAGACTTAGGTGCCCTCGAAGGCACGGGGGTGGTTAGTTGCAGGACTAGTTTATTCATTTATACCTATTATGTTGATTATCTAGGACGCTTATACTCTCAGCATATAGTATACATTGGCAACGGGCTGGCAACATAGTATCTACTTCTTTCTTAAATTATTCTACATTTGCAGTATTCAGTGCACACTCTGATGTGCTGTTATTATAACAGCAATTCATACCTATTTCTCTTTTTAATTTCCAATAGGTCTACGTCTATTATTTCAGCTATTATCTTTCTCATCAAGTCTGTTTATTTCACTATTGTGTATTCAGTATCTCATTTTTGGTTATTTTTCTCTCTTTCATTCCTATACTCTTGACCAGCGAGAGAGAATATATATATAAATATATAAATATATATATATAAATAATTTTTCCTAGATATCCTAGTTTACTATTGACAACTAGTTACTGCTTTTGACCTTTATTTTAATCAGCAATTTCAGTTAGAAGCTTCAGACCTAACGGCAATTTCAAGGTTATCTCCTCAACCACCACTGTCTGTGTTACTTGGCACCCTCTCTTAAGATATAGATCCATCGATATATTTGTCTCTTATTTTATCATTATTCTAATTATTAAGATTAACTGTTAGGTCATGTAGATTTGATTTTGATTAAGGTCCTAGTATATATCTATTCGTCCACCCATTCATCCATGTACCATTGCACCCACATATCTTTCTCAAATAACAGACGTGTGTTGTGGCTGAGTGTATCTATAGGTCTCAAGACATCAGAATTTACTCTATATAAATTAGTGCATTTTTTTGTTTTTTGTTTTTAGCACTTTTGTTGGATCCATTATTATTTTGAGATTATGAATACTGAATAAATTATTTTTTGTTCTTGGACCCTGTGGTCTTTTTAAATGTGCTCTATATCTTCAGTTCTTTATTTAGAAATTTAGCACAAGCTATTCTCTCCCAATTCTGTAGGTACACTACTCTGTGTGCATTATTCATTTCCACTAGGGGTTACCCCCCTGTATTTAATGTACCTCTGCTGTATTTGTGTAGTTCTTGCCAGTGGTTATGTTTACACCTTCCGTGTTTACGAAGGTAAAGACAGCCACTTGGATCCCCCAGGTTGCCCGGATATCATTGGGACGAGAGGAAACAAAAAATAAAAAAATCATATGGGATTTAATTAACCCATTGCTAAATAAGGGGTATCATTTAGTTATAGACAAATACTATAATAGCATCCCTCTTAGGATGCTTTATTGCTTTGAAACTGGCCTGTAGCACTATCCGAAAGACATGTGTCGGTTTCCTAGAAGCCCTGGCACAAAAAAAAGCTCGAGAGGTTAAAAACAGCTGCTCTCTGCCAGGACAAACTGCTGGCTCTCAAATTCAAAGATAAGAAGGAGGTGTTCATGCTAACATCTATGCATACTGAGCAGACTCCTAGAGTCACAGTTCGTGCCAGACAAGAAATTAGACAGGTGCCTGTCTGCATTAGGCAGTATAACAAGAACATGGGGGGAGTTCACCTGTCCGACCAACTGCTGCAACCCTATTTAATACTGAGGAAGACCCGGGCATGGTACAAAAAGCTTGGCATTTACCTTATGCAAATGGCGACTCAATGCCTTTATTCGGTACAAAAAGGCAAATGCTGACATTAAATCCACATTTCTGGATTTCCAGTTTCAGCTTATTTCTGGGCTGCTCACTGAGTGCCATAGTGAGGAACCATCAGCTGGGCCCAGCAGCAGAAGGGTTGAGACAGGTCACTTCTGTTTCCGGATACCACCAACCCCCAAAAAGACGACATCTCAGAAAAGGTGCAGGTTGTGCTACCAGAGGGGCATAAGGACGAAAACCAGCTTTTATTTCCCTGATTGCCCCTCTCAGCCCAGCCTTTGTATTGGCAACTGTTTTAAAAGTTTCACACCCAGGGAGAAAATTTTATTTATACACACACTTTTGTTCTTATTTAATTCTTCCATTTTAAAGTTGCTGACAATGTTTAGGGCCAAGGAGGCTGCTGCAATTCTTACCTCTGATTATTTCATTATTTTTATTTTTCTAATTTTAGTTAAAGGTGCATGGTAATTCATAGGAAGTTGGGGAGTTTAGTATTACGCTAGGGATGAAAAGATTAAAAATAGAATTCATAACTTCCTAAGCATTTTTTACTTTTTACACAAGAACTTTAAATGTTATTTAAAAAAAAAAATTCTATCAGCAGACAGAGTTGACAGGCAGTGCCACAGAGTTTGATGCAGGTTAATACGGTGATTAATATCTTCTTTAAAAAAAAAAAAAAGGTAGGTCTTTGTGGGGTAGTTTGAATTATCAGCCTGCTAAGATGCTCTAAAATTGCACATGTACCCAGCGTCAAAATTCAAAGTTTGAAAAAACTGATATGGCTTAGTCTCCAATGTGCCCCTTCAACATCCACATATCCCTGAAAAATGTACACATGGTGGTATTGTTGCACTAAGACTACATAGCTGAGTAACATAATAGGTGTTATACTGCCGTAGCACACAAGGATTTCAAAATATACAATAACATCCAAGTGTATGTCAAAAAGGCAGAAAAAAATGCTAAATGCTACTAGACTTGGTACAAACTAGCAAAAAAATTATCCTACGCTTAGGTTTAAAATATGCCTTTTGAAATACCCTGGAGTGTCTACTTTTACAAATGGGAGGCCTTTGTGGGGTTTTTTAGAACCGTCAAACTGCTATAATGGCCCAAATAGAAACATAGGCCCATCAAATCCGTCTCAAAATGCTACTGTAAATACCGAAATGGACAAGTCTCGTATATGGCATTCTAGCGTCACGAAATAGTGCCAAAGACATACAATGGGGGTGTCATTTTACTCAGAAGACTTATTTGAGCATAATTTTGGGGCTTTGATCATAGTGACATCAAATATACAAAATGCCCAGCAAAAAATGCACAAAATTATTTACCACAAACTGACATACATTGGTGAAAAAAATGGGGGCATGTTAATGCACAATATGCACCATATGAGATACCCTGGAGTGTCTACTTGTACAAATGGTAGGCCTTTGTGGTTTTTTTTTTTCCTCAACAGTCAAACTGCTATAGTGGCCCAAATTGAAACATCTAATCAGTCTCAAAATTCTACTGTAAATACCGAAATGGACAGATCTCTTATATGGCGCTATAGCTTCACGAAATAGTGCCAAAGTCATACAATGGGGGTATCGTTTTACTCAGCAGATGTAGCTGAACACAAAATTAGGTTTTGTACAGGAATAGTACAGTTTTTGTACGAAATACACGAGAAGTTCGTTATAATTTTGTGTGTTAAACAATATTTAGCAGGGATTGGCGGTGAAATGGCTACATAAAAAGTGTCAAAATAATGTTAAATAGCCTGTGATGTGATATATATATACACACACACACATATACATATACATATACACACACACACTTGTGTGGCAATTGTGTTTTTTTTATGGCTATTAAGCTTACAAGACAAACATACCAAATTCTAAAATCGCTTCACATTAAAGTTTTTTACTCCTTGTGTTTTGTGACCTGTAACTACCAAAAAACAAAAACAAAAAAAAACTGAAAATCCCAGGCACGTTATATATTCTGTAAATCAGAACTACATTTTTACTTTCCTTGCACAAATAATGTATACATTATTGCAAAAACTGAAGAAAAACCAAATATGTTTAAATTTTGGGGCATTTTTTAATTTTTTTATAATAAGCATTTATATGTATGTTACCTTTAAAAAAACAGTATAATATGTCGATGCAATAAAATAGTAAAATGCAAATTGCAGTTGAACGCAAACAGCAAAATGTGAAAATTTGTGCCCTTAAGTGCAAGACAAGCTTTTGAAGCTGTGTCCTTAGGGGTTAAAAACAGACCCCACAAAAACCTTTATGGAAAAACTAAAAAAAAATCTTACAAACAGGACTACATAACAGACTAATCTCAAAAAATGAACATTAATTCATGCTCAATACCAACCCACACATCTCCACTTTCTACAGTTTACCAAAAATACACAAACATGCTGTATTAACCGGGAGACCCATAGTAGCCGGTAACATGACCCAAAATGCCAGTATCTACCTAGACCGTATTCTAAAACCTTTAGTAGTCCAACTACCCTCTTACTTGAGGGATATTAAACTTTAGCAGATTTGATACATATGGATATGCCAGACAAATCTATACTATGCAGCCTTGATGTAGAGGCACTTTATAGCTCCATTCCCAACACTTTAGGTTTGGAACATACAAACCACTTCCTTAGGAAAAGGGGAACTCAATACGACAAGCAGTGACTTCACTATGGATTTGTTAGGATTCATCTTAACACAACTTATTTGATGGTGTCTTCTACCACCAGGTGCAGGGGACAGCGATAGGGACTTCTTGTGCGCCCTCATACGCCAACCTGCACCTGGGTTGGTGGGAAGAACAAGTGGTCTGTCATCGATATATCTTTTCCATACATGGATGCACTGGGTGAAGGCATTTAGTCGATCAGCAATCATCTGGACTGGCACTGGTGAAGAATTTCTCCAGTTTGTAAAGTCACTTAACATTAATGACAAATTTCAAGTTTACTGCAGAATTTTCTGGACCTTACCCTCACTCCTGACCCTGATGGAAGCATAGGGACAGACCTATTTAGGAAGAGGACTGCAACCAACAGCCTTTTGAATTGGAGGAGCTATCACCCTGGACACCAGAAAAGGGGCATCCTGATAGGCCAATATCTGACTTAGACATAACTGCTCGGACATTGAAGTTTAAAAAAAAAAAAACACAAAAGAACTACGCTCCATGTTCAGATCCAAGGGGTATCCAAACAGATGCCTAAAAAGGGCCTCTCATAGGGCACTCTTGACTGACCGAGAGAGCCTTATCGGGAAAGATAGAAGCTCCCCCCAGATAAACAAAAGACACAGATAAAGATAAACAAATTAGGTGTGTGGCTACCTTTGATGCAGGTTGGGATCAAGTGAGAATGATTATAAACTGATTCTGGCCACTCTTAAGACAGGACGAACAACTCAAAGATGTCATTCCACCTTATACCAGCCTAGTAGCTAGGAAGGGTAAAAACTTCAAGGATCTATTAGTACAGTCACTTCCAACAAACAAAACCTCCTGAACATTGGCATATACACTATAATCAGGAAGGAAGCTAGTTTAAGCTGTTTAGTATCAATTGGTTGTTATTTATGTAAAGATTTATAATTATGTACTATCGCCCCAAACATTTCTATTTCATAAGGATCTTCCTTCACATATTTTTTCCCAGATCTTTCATTAACATCTGTTTAGCTTTTAATATGTTTAGCAAGACACTGGAAGAAAAACATGAAATTCCATTGTGGTCAGAGATTATGTCTCAAATTGCATACCAAGCTACATCTGAAAAATATTTCTAAGGATACCCAATTGAAAGAAATACGATCTGGTAATCATGGTTTGTCCTGCACAGATATCTGCCCTGTGAATTTAGATAATTCATACCTGGACTAATTTACGCTGTTGAATCTTTTATTGTAACTGTGTGAGAATACATACATCTATCATGTCCTTTGTCTGGAATGTAAGATTTTAATTAATGTTCATGAATAATTTTATATACAGATATGCAAGTAATTGGAAATATGAATATTCCTTTATAAATATTAAAAGAAAGTGGATACATTTTGTGTGATAAATGGTACTCTGAATGTCAAAAAAGAAAATAAAAAGACACTTTGATGATCAGTGTCAATTGCAAACAGGGTCTTCTACCTACATAGAGCTGTATTACACTAAAATAGTGGTTATACGGAGATATATCAATTGGGGATACTTTTATTCCTTTGTTAGTTAGGGTATATCTAAGGTGTAGTAGTTTTGTCTTACATTTTCCCTGTATTTAAGAGATACTTAACTTTTAATAGACAGAATAAAGATACATTTTACATCTATATTTGAGTGCGGTATATGTATTTATTGTAATTATCCAGCGTATTCATTGAGGGCTACCCTGATACCTAGCTCCACTAGGTTTGAAGAGTGCCGGTGCATATTGATTTTTCAATGCTGCATATCTGTCCAATGTGGACCCATGAGGAAAGAACAGAGTGACAATTGCTGAGTCCCAGCCATGAGGCTTGTAGGCTGTGCGCGGCCTTACTTTTGTAAGATTGTTGCGGAAGACCCAAGGCAGCCAAGAGTGCTGTAGCCCCTGCAGATCCTTGATCGGATAGGAAGTGTCTCCATGCAGTAATAGCAGTGTGTGGGACATTTGCCACCAACATTTGATGGCGTGTGCATAGAGGACGCATATGAATCGCTGGAGTGACCTCCACCATGCCAAAGTACTCACTCATAGATCGGTATAAAAAGGTAAGATGTTTTAAAAACTATAAAAAGATACAACCAGAATTGTTTCCAAGTACCGAAATGCTTACCTCATCAACAATAAATGTACAATCCACTCTGATGTATGATATTTTAGACTGATTTATGCAATTTTCTGTTGATTGATTTACCTGCCGTGTTGTATACATTACCATGTCTCCTTTCTCCTAATTTTTTTTTTTTTTTTTTAATAATTATAAAAAGGAGAGTGACCCCGGATTGCAATTATGACAGCAGCCTTATCCTGCCCACTCTGGAATTGAACAACCAAGTCCCTTGATGCTGTAGCTGGGGTTTCAGCTGGTCTGGGAATCCGGAACATGCTACCGAATCCAACCACTGTAGCCGGTCTAGGGTACAAGACTACACCCATGAAAAGCTGCAGGAAGTGATTCCTCCTATCTTTAGGTTCTTGCCGCGTCTAGAGTCCTCTAACGTTGTGAACAGCTGCTCAAATGTATTGTTGCTGCAGCATCTGTAATGCCTGTTGTAGGACCGTGACTTGCAGAGCCCCCAATGCAGCTTATCAGGCCTTAGAGATTATTGTGGATATTACGCTGGATGACCACTAGCAGTTCCTGCATGACGGCCTTCGTAACTGGGGACAAGTCTAACTTTTGCAAAGAAGGTCCAGGCACCAGCAGAGTAGGTAAGTGTAGACCTTCAGCTCTGAGGGTTGGATTATACAATAGAGCAGAGCACTTACCATGCACCTGCCGCCAGAAATACCAGATGACTCAGGTATGACCCGCAAATAGTGAGCAAAAAAGAGGGATATTTAGTGGGAAATTGACTTTGCGATATGGAGCATACGACCATTCAGTTCAGCAGCTTGGCCCCGTCCAACAACAACTCCTAAATCCTTCGTGTGGTGTTATCCCTAATTCACTATCAGTTAGGGTGTAAGTTGCTTGTGCATGGTTTACCATGCATTTTCCTACATTAAATTTAATCTGCCTTTTGAGTGCCTCAATCTATATAAATCCCTCTGCAACAAAGCAATATCCTGCTCACAAATTACTTTACAGTGTTGTGTCAACTGCAAACACTGAAACATGGCTTTCAGTGCCTATTTCAAAATCAATTACAAATATGCTCATTACAAGCCTTCCCAGAACAGAAACAGACACCACTTACCACCTTTGTCCAGCTTGAAAATTTACCATTAATGACAATTCTCTGCTCTGATTTTAAGCAAATGTTGTACCCAAGAACAAGAATTTTCATCGAGACCCATTTCTTTCAGTTTGAACACTAACCTGTTGTGAGGAACAGTTTCAAACGCCTTGCAAAATACAAGTAGATCACTTCCTGTCAGGATTACTAGTTGATCACACCTAGGACTAAAGGCAACGTCTTAATGGACCTTAGAATGGCCGGACTTGGCGTACCAGAGAATAGTCAGAATACTTCCCGAGGTCAGGGATACAAGAGACAACGATGAGGGAAAGTCAAAAGTCAAGGATGCCAGAATTCAGGGAAGTCAAAACTAAGCCAAAGTAAAAAAACAATATAAAACGAACATGAACATACTCTGATAACCAAATAAGGGAAACCATGACAAGGCACTGAACCAAAGGTAATTTGGGTTTAAATAACCCTCCTTTGGCTGTAATTGGCTGCCTCCGACCTCTAACCCCAAAGCATGCGCGTCTATGACGTGACGTTGCACACACGTTGGCGCTAGCTTTGTTGCGGGCGAACGCTCCTAGGAGCGTCGCACCCGCTGGGGACCGGACCAGGAGGGAGTCCGGGCAGTGATCTGCTGCGAACAAGGTAAGTAAAGTTTGTTGGTGTGATTGCTTATTTTATGTGCTACCACACCGACAGACTAACTGGGTGTCGTGACACTTACACTGCGACACCCTGATCTATACTATATAAAATGCAATTAGTTTAGTTTAAAATAACGCTGATTATTGCTAATTATGTTCATCCCAGTGAATTTCTGAAAAGTTTCCTTTAATCCTTCAAATACTTTCCTACCTATAGATGTTAAGCTCACAGGTGTATAATTTCCATGCAAAGATTTGTAACTTTTTGAATATAGGAACAACATTTACCTTCCTCTAAGCCTCAGGTACAATTCTTGAAACACTAAATACAAAGGTTCACGGATTTCCCCACTTAGCTCCTTAAGTACTCATGGGTGAATACGGTCAGGCCTTAGAGTTTTACATTACTATAAACCATGCAAACAAAACATGAGTAAATTAACGAGTATAGTAACAGAATACAACAACTTTTATTAGTCAATATAAAAATGTTTACCACAGAGACACTGTGCAATTAAAATCCACTACAAAAAATAAAAAAATTGGCACTGCACACATACAAACACTATTACAACAACTCGAGGAGCAAGACAGGGATTCTTCACTTCCCGATGTCAGAGTGGGTTTACCCAAAGTCTGAAAGAAGTCATTAAAGTAGACCTATTTGTTCAAATGTCAAGAGATCAAATTGAATCCCTGCACCCACCTACAATATCCCAAAACAACCTAACTATGGGCAAACGTAGGGTATTGAGAGAATTTTGAATAAATAATCATGAAACCATCAGATAAAGAGGGAAATATGGTTCTGCTATGAAGCACCTGAAAGATACATTGTGCTATCTTAAAATCAGGAGATCCAATGACATTTCTGAACAAGTTAAGGTTTTGACTCTAGCAGTAGTGGGTGGCATCAGCACCAAAACGGAATTCAAATTTAGGATGCCCAACAATACTCCTACGATTGCCACTTTTAAATGTTTACCCAAAGTTCAAAGTTTTGCCCCTACCACGGGTATTAAACCTTTTGATTTATTTCTCGATAATCAAATTTTTTAAAATTAACAGTGAAACGTTTCTTTTAAAAAAACAAAAAAAACACAAGAATCAACGATACCACTTATTTTGAACACGTAACTACAATAGATCAAGTAGAGTCATTCTATTCCAGTGGATATATAAAAAAAAATAAAATAAAAAAGCAGCGATTATCCACTCGACTCTAAAAAAAAGTTCTCAATTTCTATCCCACCTTTGAAAGGAGTAAATATTTAGAGGTTTTCAATGATTTAGTGCAAGCAGATCTTGATAAAATTTAGGGGAGACATAATGGAGGTCAAATATAAATCTGACCAACAAGGAGGGATAGGCCCTTAAACTTAAAACTAATTCCCAACTGGTCATCAAGGAGGCCGACAAAGGGGGGGTACAGTCATTAAGAGTAAAACAATATTATATGCAAGAAGCACATCGCATTTTAGGAGATAACACTACATATAAAATACTAAAATAAGATCCTACAAAACTTTTTTGGAAGAACTTTAATCTTTACTTCAAAGAGGATTTGATAACTATCATCGCCACACAAGAATTTCAATATATTTTCAACCCTACATGCAAAATAGCTATATTTTATTTTCAGAAAATCCACAAAGGTCTGTCTACCCCCCACCAGCCATCCTATCAGTAGGATAAATTCTTTATCCTGTAACCTCTGAGTATATAGATTTATTTTTAAAACCATACGTGCCTTTATGTCCTTACATCAGAGATACTAAATGTAACGGTACCCCAGGTATAGAAGGGGTTAACGCAGCCAAAGATGTTCCCTTCCCGAATACAAGGTCAGCTATTGAATACGCCTAAGCACCGAATAGGAACACGAATAATCCACACTCCAAACAGCCGAACAGGAAAACCATACGAATAATCCCCCGAAGTACGAGACGCGGCTCTGTATTGAGGGACAAGCAGGAATCTCAGTCTGAGGGTTTATTGTCTTATATGCAACCTTTCTCACAAGGTTACCACCCACGTGGTCTTGTGGAACAGCCACACAAACACAATACAGTCACACTTCCAATTAGAACACACAAACCATCCCCTCTGCCTGTGATATAATTACTGTACACAATGGGTTAACTTAATCACAGGCAGGAAATACAGTTTCATACAATATTCATAACTCAAAATATACATACAATCCAATTCCCTCCAGTGGTTTAAAAGTTAGGTGGAAAGCATGGCTTTGCTGTCCAAAAGAGTTCCATAGGTTTGGGCTGTGCGATCGGTCTATTTTCTCGTCTATCCTGGAGATAATTGGCTTAAGTAACTGTAGTAAACTCAATTATCGCCAGGTACTAAAAAGATCACCAAGTTACAACTGCAACAAAACACATTAAAATGCATAACTAATATTCTATAGAACTGAAACCCCACATTTGACCTATCCCAAGATAGCTTGGATCTGAGCGCTCAATATAGACTAACAGCGCTCAGATACCACAAACAATCAAATCGCCATGGGATTAAACAATAGCAAGGGCTGATGAGAGACTGAGGGACAAAGCAGTTTCAACTGGTCTGGCAGTGTCCCTTGGATAACGCCCTGCTGGAGAACAATGGGACAAGAAACAGGGTAGGGGAAGAGGCACACCTTCCCATGGATTCAAATGGGCAGAAAAAGTGTCCCAAAATCCAATAAGTCCAAACAGGGCTTTAAATGGCAATACTTCCCAGGGGCCATAGTCACAAGGTAAGAGGCGGGCAATTAGTTCTCTCCAGGCACAAGTGGCAAAGGGCACTTTCGTCACACTAAACATACTTCAAAAACCTTGCAGTCATTTATTTAGGAAACCTTCCTATGTACTGGCCACTGTGGACGTCACCTCTCTGTACTCCAATATTCCCCATTCCAAGGGATTGGAGGTTACAAGGGACGTGTTGATCCAACA